AGTATATCTTCAAGTGCTATTGGAAATGAAGTGTACAGAATTACATTAACAGTTAGAGGATCCAGTACTAAGACTAGATATTGTAAAATCAAAACAGTGATGAGAAGGGGGAATGCTCCAGACTTCGCCGACGCCAAGGCTCGTACGTCGATTCCGGTTATGGTTAGTAGCTCGAGGGTGGCTGCGCTCTCATGACCTCGGAGACATCTACGTTTAAATTGTTCGCGTCGATCGCGGGCTGATTTTCGTGCACGGAAGCATGCGTTTGCGTAATCGCTGGGGACGCCTCATCCTGCGCTGTCCATCCCATCACGCGGTACTGTCGGATGCCCGAGATGTGCTTGACATGTGCGTCCCGGGGCCACGCGATGGTCTTCGAGAACATGCGTCGATTCATCAAAGTCGCGTATCGCAGCAAAGAAGTGAGACTGTTGTTGCGAGAGTGCCAGGCGCCCACGACGAAGCCGTCAACGCGAACGATGTACCCGCATCTTCTCAATGTCTCCGCAAACGGCTGATATGTGGATCTTCTTGATCCTTGCATTTTCAAGAGAAGCGAATCGAACTTATACTCGAAAGATACGGTAACATCGACCACGACGATGGTCCTGGACGGCTCGTACGTCACAACAATATCAAGACGCAATGCTTGCAGTTCTTCGCCGACGCGAGAGACGCACGTGCTAATCTACGATTCCTCGGGTAGCCTGGAGGCCGCTTCAAGCCTCTCGAAAAAGGCATTATGGCGTAATTGCCGAGAGGCCGCTTGGGGACCGCAGAGACAGAGCATGTGGGGTAACATCTCCAATTGGTACCCGCACCACAGGCATCTCTGGTCACTTTCGTCCCATTGAGGCATCCCATTTATGGGGAGCACGTCGAGGCGTGCAAGATGCACAAAGCGTCAGTCGGCGAAATGGAGGTACTGACCCGTCCGTATGAAGCGATTGCTCGCCCCATGACGGGAGGTCGCGCCGAATATGTTGTCCTGTTCCGGATTCGCGATAAGCGTGGACATGTAATGCTCCGAAGCAGCGGCCCTCATTCGGCCTATAACTTGCCGCTTGGCGTTCGGAGGAATGATCAGAACACCGCCTGCTGGGCACTCCAGCGAGAACATACATCGAGCAGGATATCAGCGTCAACAGAAGCCGAATCGTCTCAAAGCTGCCGATCTGAACCGCGATCAAAACGACGTGCGACTGGTGGATGACAACGACAATTTCCCCTCGAGCGAGACCAAAAGGTGCTAGGCGATATCCTCCTCGTTAGGCGTACGCCGCATTTTTAAGCGGACGGCGTTTTCCAACATCGATCTCACAAAGCCTACAACCGCCGGTCATCTGCGTTCAGAATTTTGAAAGCATGGGCCACGGCGGCAACGTCCGAAGTGTCCGCCAACGGAGAGAGCCCGCATCCCCGGGG